GCCCCTCCCACCCACAGCGCCTAGACGCGCTTTTGGGGGCCTCCCTGGGGCCCCCGGAACAGGAGACACCTCTCGCGGACCCGCACGGGGGGCCCCAGGGGGGCCCCCACGGGGGGCCCCAGGGGGGGGCCCCTCTAGCGGAAGAAGGGGGCCCCCAAGGAGGAGGGGGGGCCCCCCTTTTGCGTTCAGGGGGGCCCCCAGGGGGCGAAAGAAGAAGAGGGTCAAGTGGGTCTTTTGAAGGGGAGGGTACAGAGACACTGGAGCACCGGCTGGTGAATTGTGATGTTGGGGCATTTTTGGCGGTGAGGAGTTTTTAATTTTTAAATTTTTGAATTTAAAACCTTTTAATTCATTTAAATCTTTTGTTTTGATTTTTAAAACTTAAAAATGCTTTAATTTGATCTTTTGGCGTTTTAAAATTATCTTGGATTATAATTTAAATGCGTCTCAGCTTTGTGGAGTGTCGGTTGGTTTCTTGCATGCATGCATGCATACATGCATGCATGCATGCACGCATACATGCATGCATGCATGCATGCATGCATGCATATGTACATGCATGCATATGTACATGCATGCATGCGTATTTGCTTTGTTTAGTCATATGAATGCGAATTTGCAATTATATATATATATATATATGTGAAATGTTTTTATTATATATATGTATATATTATATTATCGTATTCAAAACAAAAGTATAAGTTTATAAAATTAATAAGTATTTATATTCAATGATAAAGTGTAAATACACAAATACAGATAAATGAAAAATTTTAATCTAAAAATTATATCTTTAAATAAGTATATTTATATAAATAAATTATATTTTTGACTCCAAGCAAATGCAATTAAAGCAAAGTAAATGCTCTTTAATGATAAAGTTGTCCTTAATGCAAGTAAATTATTTAAATTTAAATAAACTTTTAAAATTCCAATTATTAATTCAAAAGCCAGTTCACATTTAGTGTCTCCTCCTCTGGCCTAAAGTGCAACGGAAGCAAATAAGAGACAGAACCCCTCCACGAGCCACCAGCAGTAGCAGCAGCAGCAGCAGCAGCAGCAGCAGCAGCAGGAGCATGTTGTTTGCTGCGCTGCGCTCAGGTGCCCCGTCTGGTATGTCTTTACTATCTTCTAGACCCTCTTCACCGCGTGCACATTTTCAAACCCTTTTTGCCTTCTCTTTTCGATGAAGAGGGGGCCCCCCGGGGGCCCCCCTCGGACCTGGGGGCCCCCCGGGGGCCCCCCTCAGACCCGGGGGCCCCCGGGGAAGGGGACACAGCAGATGACAGCAGCCCCTCCTCCACTCCTTTGTCTCCATCATCTCCAGAAGAGGTCCTGCAAGAGGGGGGCCCCCCTGCGGCGTTGCTGACCCGTGTGGGGCCCCAGGGGCCCCCGGGGGGCCCCCCCCCGGGCGCCCCC